TGTGTGTGTGTGTGTGTGTGTGTGTGTGGGTTGTGTGTGTGTGGTGTGTGTGGTGTGTGTGTGTGTGTGTGTGTGTGTGTTGTGTGTGTGTGTGGGTGTGTGTGTGTGTGTGTTGTGTATTGTGTTGTGGGTGTGTGTGTGTGTGTGTGTGTGTGTGTGTGTGTGTATGTGTGTGTGTGTGTGTGTGTGTGTTGTGTGTGTGTGTGTGTTGTGTGTGTGTGTGTGTGTGTGTGTGTGTGTGTGTGTGTGTGGGTGTGTGTGTGTGGTGTGTGGTGTGTGTGTGTGTGTGTGTGTGTGTGTGTGTGTAACGATAAACCAAATCATCAGACGCGTATATGTCTGAAAGCCAAACACCACCCACTGTTCGGGATGGAGAATTGATTGGCCTAAACCTATCAGAAATACTAGCACACCAGATGGGAACAATCGTGTGAACAGTCAGTCCATCGGTGATACTAACACCTTGCCTCAACCCTTCCGTAAGACTATCACAGTTGTCTGATCGGCCAAAAGAAAACGCAAGCCTGCAGTCCCGTGTCAAACCGTGCTGGGGTCTCATTCACGGTGATGTTCGAGTGCCTCTGCATAGGGTCGCTGCGGTCTGTCGCGGACAGAAGCTGATCCTCCTGGCTGTAGATCATATCAAAGCTTACCTCAACTATTACACACGGATGCTGACTGAAACTGTTCAACCTCACGGCCGTTTGGGGTAGCCGAAGTTCACTTGAACTACAAACTCGGGTGCTGGCCGGGCAAAAACTTCCCATCAACTTGGAGCGATTGTCGCATCCAAGGCCGCGCGTGAGCTCACGGTGTGATGTCGGGGTTGTCCAGGAAGGCGACACAGTGTGCCGCCGTCAGCACGTGTCGCTTGGTGATGAGAGAGCCGCCGCACGCGTGCCGCAGTCCTTCGGGCGTGACTGAAGGACGGCAGACAGTCACATCTACTGCCGCGCACCATTGCAGCATGACTCATTTAAAGCCCGTTACCCAAACGCCGCTGGTTATTAGGATCAATTACAATCGTAAAGGAACCGTTTGGAGAAGCGACCATGATTATGCGCTTCACGACCTCCAATTGCCGGAATTTTCATACCTACCAATGCTGTCAGCCAAAGAAAAGAACACAACATTCCTGGTAGTACACTATCGACCCACGCCGTGGGCTGAACACGGGTGCAAGACATTCAAAGACATTCCCTCCGTTCGTAGCCGGGATCGTTCGGGGAGGGGGAGGAGAGGGTTTCCGAGCCGGCCCACACGCTGCACTGGAGGCAAGAATGACGGCTAGCCCACACTGGACGCTCATTGAAGCAAAGCTACGAAACGACATGCTTCTAGAACGTGATGTAAAAGCACATTAGTCGGAAACAGACCAGCTCACTAAGTTCTTGATCTAGAATTTACCCAGGCATCGAACGTTTCGACGAAATTCCGCCGCTTCTGGCATGCATGGCCATGCGGCTCAATTTAAAAACGCGTCCATGTTTAGCTTTGTTTACGACACACTTCTCCCTGGGTTACACACAGATCGTTACGTCAGTTATCACCACGCTAATTTGCAGTAATCCCATGGACCAACAGGTAGAACTGCAACGTGTCCACGTCTCCCGCCTTATATTTTGTGCAGGTTTACTGTGAGCCCTGTTGAACGCTCGCATGTGACCTTGAAGGCAAGCACTGTGCGTGGTCACTCATCCCCAGCGTGGTATTATAACAACCACAGTATACCTTCATACTGAAAGTCCCAGGAATCCTAATGAAACTTACCCTAACACCATCCGATCAGCCTGCCCCAGCTCACCGCCGCTATACTGGATCGACACGATCCAAGGGTGCTCGCCGATGCCGACGTCCCTGCCGTTGATGACGTTGCCCGTGAATGCCGCTACGCCGCACACGTCCTCCGACGGCAGACGGATGATCTCAGTGTCTTCAGGTCGACGGGTCGGCTCGTCCTGGCAGCACAGCTGACCGCCGCCCAACATGGGTCACGAACGGGTCGCGGACAGGTCACGGAAGGATCACGGACGGATCACGGACGAGTCACGGACGAGTCGCAATTGTGTCAAGGACGAATCACGGACGGGTCTTGGACGGCTCGCGGACGGGTCACAGATGGGTCAAGGACGAGTCACGGACGGGTCACGGACGAGTCACAGGTGGGTCGAAGGGCGGTCGCGAATGAGTTAAGAGCGCGTCACAAGCGTGTCACAAGCTAATCACAGATTAATCTCATCAAGCCCATGCCCTGATGGCCCAGGGGCGAGATGGGCACTGGCCAGGGGGACTCGCCGCATTCTTGTCTTCTTTAACGACACGGGCCCCTGCAACACGGGCCTCTTTGCAACACGAGCGTCGGCGACAAGGCGGTCGCAGACGGGTGCCAGAGGATGCGTGCCTGCGACCAGCACGTGCGAGCTGAGAACGGGCCTCGGGCGGCACGTCCCCGCACCTGCTGTCGGCCGCCACTAAACGGACACTTGGCGGCCAGCGCGCGTAGCTCGGCGACCGCCCGGCCGTCGGTGTCGACGCCCCTCCTGATCTGCGAGACCAGCTGTAGCAGCGGGGGGCAGTCCTGGACCGACCGACACACGCCGCGTGTGCCGGCCTCATCCACCGTACAGGTGGACCCTGGCGACACGGAGCCAGCCGTCACGACGACCGCCAAACTGCAGAGCAGGCTCATGGCCGGCAGGTGTGGTAGAATGCGCAGTGGTTAGAGGCATAGACTAAACGCAGGTCGAAAGTTAAGGCAATCGTCTTTGGTTTTCCCCTTCCACTGGGATGTTTCATCTGCAAGAGATACATCCAAGCATGGTTTTGTAGATGGCGACCGTGACAACGGGAGCGTGCGCGGCTCGAAACGCAGCAGGTGGCGTTGCTTCATCGGAGTTTTCGCCCAGCGCCGTCAAAAAAACCTTCAACAAGATGCCATCGTTTTTCACCCACCTGTGGTCAGGTGCTTACTTGGTGCACTTAGTGACTTAGTGAACTGTTATGAACAAGAGAGGAAGAACCTTCCAATCGTTTCACATTAATAACTGCTCATCTGAGACAGCACAACTCCGAGAACGACGAAAGTGAGAACCCTTGGCTGGCCCTATTTATGCCCGTTTTTATTTATTTTATTGGCCCTATTTATGCCCTATTTATTTATGTATGCGCGATTTGCCCCCCCCCCCCATCCTCCTCTGAAAAAAATTCAACTATGCGACTGTTGTAAGTATATCCCAAGCCACTTCAACCAATCAAGATTTACAAGAATTGACACCCTGCTTGGTAGTAATAATATCATGTCTAGCTCCTCCCGAAAAAGTGGATTAGGCTAAAATACTAACCTTTCCCCATAACAAATACTGGTGGCCCCGCCCCCCGACCAAAATCATGGCCGCACCCCTGTCATGCATGGATGGTTAGATGTGTCTGATTCCTGCATTCTGATATTTTCTTTGCAGTTCTTGTTACAACAATATGTTGTAACAAATACTTGCAACAATCTGGTTGCAACTGCACGTGGTCGGTAATTGGCTTATAAGCAGCGAGATGTGTGATTGATGCCCATGATGAGTATGTTAAATACGAGGTGTTGAACGCAGAGCTGCGTGCAAGTAACCTTCCTACCAAAAGTAACGTGTGGCAGATTTATTTATTCATCTATTTATTTGTTTATTACAAGTCATAACCTCACTCCACTCAGAATGTGGCCAATACAGAGCCCGTGTCATGGGAATGAAACACTGTAGGTCAGGGAGGCTCGCTCAAACACGTACACACGCAGGCACACATGCGCAGAACGCACTCTCTCACATTCGCTCAAGTCATTTGAAGTAGGCGTCCCTATCCGCCATTGATCTGCCGCTGCAGGATATAACTACGCAAATCGCGTTTTTCACACTTCGCGAGCTTTCTAACTGCTTGTGTAGTAGTCAGACTAATGACGACCTCGCTGGTGCCGGTTCTTCTCGCGAGTCGGGCAAAGAGAGATCTCGTCGGTATATAGGTTCTGTTTGCCAGTAACTTGCACTCACTAACACTCACACCACACCAAAATGTCCGCAACCGACAGCAGCTTTGCTTCTTCAAGTCTATGAGCGCATGCACATACGTGGTAACGAACAGTTCGCCTTAACACGCGCTCGTGTGGGGTCCATTTGAGCCCCGAAGATTTTTCCGAATGGTTCCCGAGTAGTGCGATGTAGCCGCGCCAAATTTTGCGTAGATGTAGACAATTCAATGATGGATTGCTTTGGCATCAAAAATTTGTGTGCACCTGGTAAGCTCTATGACCTACGGTGAGTCAAAGTCAGGTTATGGATTCAACGAAAACAGCTTCTAGGGAAACGTGCAATCGGATGCAGCAGCGAGGTATTGGACGAAGCCATACATCTCCGAAAAAATTTAGTGTGCAACACAGCAGCTCATTGAGCGACTTCTGTCGATCTAGGGTCAGGTATGCCCATGCCCATGGTCAGAACAAGCTCAAAACCAACCTGCTTTATCATTCTAGAGTTTGATGTATGGGGAAGTTTCTGGTACTTATTTTAAATCCACTGAAAAAAGGAACCGCATTACACATCTTCAATGGACTTCTTAAATGTCAGAACAGGTCACTAGCCAAAAATAATCCAGGTCAACATTTTGTTTCCAGGAACATACTGCTTAGTGTATTTTTGACGCTTATTTGAATGCAAAACTGAAGGCAGTCTTGCATGATTTTGTTCATCGTGACCTAAGAAAGGTTCGACATCACTGAACTTAAATAGGAATCAGTAAACCTTTTCTTAGGACAGATATCTTGGCTTCGGGGGCACTTTGGAGACCCGCCTGAAATTTAACCTTGTTTGTCCGTTATTTGACCCCAAGGTCATGACCTAAGAACCTCAACATTTGACACAAGTCAGTTTACGTACAGGCAAACACACCCTATCGATTTGGTGTTTCTGTCTTAGTTTCTGAGATCTCATGGGAATCAAATTGCCCCCCATCCGAGCGAAGGGTATTCAACCAGCCACGCAACCTTCAACGGGAACCACTCATAATCATGTGCCACGGAAATGATGTGTTTACAAACCAATGAGAAGCGAGTATGACATCGTACAATGCTCGGCTAAATTAACAAGAGAGTGTTGGATCGCCTTGCGATCCCAGAACTATCTGATTCAACTGATGGCTGGTGCGGCTGAGGGCGACTTTTTTAAGGAAGTTTCCAGTCAAATTACGGACGGGTGCTTAGTTTAGGTTCCAACGGAACAGATGGCATGTGGTGGGTGATCTGGTTGCCAGATGCCTGGGATTGCACGGAGACGGGTCTAGTAGCTGCACATAACCCACCCGGCAGTGCCTGACTGATGCAATAGCGCGCCACGGGGCCGAACGCGTGTCCGTCGGCCGACCGGTCCAACGTATGCAGTGGGCAGTGATATGTGGCTAATGGACGTCGGCTGGTATAGGGCCACAAAGTGGACTGTTTGGCGACTAACAGTGAATTTTGTCACACGAGTACTTGTGCATGAATATTGCGAATTTAACCCCCCATCGGCATAAACATGAAACTCATTCAAACCGCGAGCATTTGCGCACTGCGGCTTGGAATAACTTTCGGCGCTTTTTTGCGGACATCACAAAATTAATGTCCCGGTATTGTCAGATCGCCGACCATTGAAATAAGCCCCTGCACCAGCTATTTTACCGGAGATGTTGATAAATCGAACATCTACGAAGGCACATGACACAGAGGATCACCTGATTACGTAACATGGAGTAAGTGAGCTCAGTACTGTTTGGGGCAGGGTACGCTGAGTCTTAAGATCCCAGACACCAAATTGAAATGTCGTCAATGGCTCATGCAGCTGGCCAAGAACCTGTGACACAACGCCTGAAAAGACTCCCCATGTGTGCACAATGGACTCGATCCAACGATCATGACGTCGGTAGTTGAGCCGTGTACAGCCAATGAGCGAGCTCTTACAGCTTCCTAATGCTGGAAAAAATAATGACACAGGTGGCGCGTCACATGCTGCACAAGCTCACGTGCATCAAGATAAGAAGCAAGAAAATTTTGAATATTAGGGACAAGGCTGTGAACATCACGAAATGATCACGAAAATGGCTACTTCAGCTCAAAAACCCTATACAAGTGTTGAACAGCGCTGTAAGGGGCATGTTCCACATTCAAAGATATTGAAACGGGGACCACATGTAATGGCATAAGCTCACTTATTATAACTATTGGCATACTGGTAAGGGAAAAAACCGCTCTAGATAATACAACTTCCCGGTTTAATAAAAATATGCTTCTCAAGATGTTACTGTTTAATTGCGTCATGGAGTGACTGTATGACGTCGAGATGCTACCAAATAAGCCGTGCGAATTTGCCACCCAAGCACTGACTTGAAGTACTTCAAACTCCTCGGGAGATGGCAGTGGCGGTGCTGGAACTGTTCGCTAAGCCAAGTACCATTTGTGTGCCCGTGTTTTGGCGCTTTTTCGTGTTGTTCTCCCATACCCGTGAGTTAAAAATGTTTAATTATGTTCACATACCCGGTTAAGGCGCTTTTCTTAAGCTATTCGATAGCACAAACATATTCGTAATTGAAGCTTACATAGTTTGTTCAACATTGATTGAGACCCAATTGACCGCCACTTTGTTTGGAAGTCGTGCTCGTGGACGTCATATATGCACGGTTCGACAATAATATTCTTCGTGCCTTGAATATCGTATGGCCTGTGGGGTGGCAGGGTTTTAATGACGGTGATATGGCATTGTGTATGCTTGAATAGCCTTAAAATATTCTGCACGTAATAACCTGCACATATCCGCAGGCGCGTAGCTCAGAAACCAGCAGATTTTAAACCTAAAGAAGAACCGGGAGCTGTGGACTGCACCGAATGATCTTTCACATGACTAGTCTAGTTTAGAACCCCGTACAAACTTAGAACACTCCCTTTAAATGGAGTACCGCAACTTTTTTGCAATTTTCACTTATTGTTACATCAAACGCCAACAACTTTATCAGTGACATCAGTTTTCTCGAAATCCTTCGGAATAGCTCGAAATTTTTATTTGAACCAGCCTACCCTGTGGAGAAATCTCATCTGATTCCCCGTTCACCACTATGAAAGTGACACATTTAGTTTGCCTCGCTTTTTCCAACGTCTGTGTTCTGTGATGTTTGCAACACAGTTGTGGCTCAACATGGCTGTGTAATAATTGCTGCGAAAGCATGAAACACCCTATACTTTGTTTGACAAAAATATATGAGAGCATGGAGCCATTATCCAGGGAAATCAACGAAACGTAATACTACCGGCTTGTTTCTCCCCTACCACAGTTATTCATAGTTAGCGTCTACCACAGTGAATCTCTTCGAGGCGCGCTTTGGCTCTGGGAATTTCAGTATCACAGGATCCACGTGACGCACTGCTTCAAACTTCAGTCAATGTGCTTCTCGGTAACAGGCCCTTGCCCCCCTAGCCCGATCACAAACGCTCTTTTATTCGCAGCAGTAGATGTACGCGCGGTTTTCATGATGACGGTGGTCGGGAGTGCAAGGAAAGGCGTAGTGGTGTTACAAAACGTTGAAAGCGTAATTCGGACTCGAAAAGTGATAGCCTTGTTTTGTCCTGACAGAGCTGCGGTGGCCTTACGCAGCGTTTTTATTAGACGCAACTGGACTAATCCTGAGGTTCCAAAAGAGTTGTCTCTTTTTTTTGAATATGTCCCAAATGTCGGACATCCGCTTCAAGAATCTGCATAAGAAGCTACATGATGCGCTCTTCCCCCAAGGCAACTACTGGGCACGCCATCGAAGCCCCGGATCGGCGCTCGGCCGCGGTGGTGCTCACCTTGCTCTTGCTGCGCCTCTGCGCCCAGTCCGCAGCCGACGAGAAGAAGCAGGGTCACCGCCGGCCACACGCCCCCGCTGGACAACACACCGCGCATCAAACGCAACGCATTCGGGCCCACGTTGGTGACGAAGTCCATCCTGAAAGCCCTTGCAGGTGTTAGTCGGTGAGCGACGCACCTGTCGAACTCGATATGGATTACTGTCAAGGGATTCGTGGCCAGCTAACAATATGCCCGCGATGTGATGCCAGCCGTGCCACGGTCTCCGGCGTGGCGCCTTGCGAGAAGCACAGCCTTGAACTGAGCCGGAGATCACCACCGAAGGACCCGCTTGTCGCGTCCCCCGCCCGTGCATGCGCACGTCCATGTCCATATCTGGTGGGGAGGGGGGCAGGGGGAGGTCCACGGCGCGGGATGTCACTGAGCCGAGCACTGAGCGCGTCTCGCTGATCCCTGGCGCCCGCGCGCCTGCTGCCCCTGACTGCATGCCTGTGCTCCCCCCCCCCCCCTCACGACTGCACGCCTGGCGACGCGCGTGCCGACGTGCACCGGCGCCGCACTGTGGCGAATTAGCGGCGGGGAAGTTTGCAGCCTCAGCCGGTTTCCAGAACTCGGCGTTACGTCATTGTGTTCAGACGCCGCCTAACCAAGTTTGTGTGCATAAAAAGTACAGCGGAAGGCAAGCAGCAAACGCTCACGGCGCCTGGCATCCGGGTTGCGCGACATGCTGTTCCTGTTTTGGAGCATTGCGTCTGGTAATAAACAGCCAATACCTGGCGTCCATGTTCCCGGGCGGAGGAAAGCACAGTTGGGTTACACTGCAACACGTCATGGCCTTTCCGCTCACCCTGCCGCTCTCGGTTATCTCACTGACATATCCCACAGCGGCCTCTTCGCTATTGGAACAGATACGCTCATCGAGCCTCACTTGCAGCGATTGCGTGAACACGGAGCTCAACATCACCCTGTCTGCGACTCAGCAACTAGTCGTAGTCACCAGAACGTATGGATTCCGTCTCTGCAAAATGCGAGTGGGCGGCAGGGTACATCAACACACACACTCATCACACGAGTGCCACTACCATCATGTCGTCCGGCTTTCGAACGGCAAGGATGCATCACGAGCACCGGGGGAAATACGTCGCTTCGTTTACACATTCCAGTCGCCTGGACGTTTTGCGTCGTTTGCTGACCTCGCAAAGCATGACAGTGCCAGTAATGGTCTTGGACCAAGCCCCAGGGTGCACGGGCAGCGGGCACCGGGTGCTGGCCGGCCGTGGCCTGCGGCATGCCAGGTGTGGGCCAGCAGCGCACACCTGTAACACATGTGATCGGTCGACGTCATCAGCACGACTTAAGTCTGGCGGAGGTTTTCATGGAGTTGTCAATGATTTGTCATGGATGCTTCGGTTTAGTCCTCATTGATTGGTTACTTTACGCTCGGCATGAGCGCTGTGCGTCAACCACGGTCTGGATGTCTGCTGACTCATGAACTCTGGCAATTCATTTCTGCGATTGAATGGTACATGCCTGAGGTAACCTATAGGTAGGTAAGCCATTTTCCGCTTCCGATATTTTAAGGGATGCCTGTGTTGGCTCAATCCCATGTTCGCTACTCTGATCTAATACATGGACATTGGCAAGCCAACATAGTTGCATTGCAGCGCGCCGTCAGTGTTTGACGCTGCCAGTGTCTTTATCGGCACAGTTTCATTTCGCGCGCCCTGCCCATTTAGGGCTTTCTTTACAGCCCTCAAGCCACTCTGACCGACTCTTTGACACATCGGGCCCATATGTGGTTTTCTTTCGGGACCCTTCATCCTTTAAGGAATGATGAAGTTATCAGTGTAGTAAATTCACACACCTTGAAGCATTTTCAGATTTTGTCAATTTTTATTTTTCCAGACGATGCACGGTGTATCGTGCCAAGACCCGGGTACCAACTCTTTTAGAATGATGTAGTAATGCCCAGAATTATGTCTGGCAATGTCCTGGTAATAAGGAAAATAGCTTTCTCATGCATACAGCGTTATAGAGTTAAGGAAGTGTCCTTCCTTTGGGGCATGTTTCAAAAGCGACCTCTCGTGAGACCTCAGGACCAGTTACGTCTAATAAGTCTAAAAAAGCATTGGGTAGAATTTCCGCGGCACCATCAAGATATGATAAGGAGATGAATTTCAACTGATATCTATTCTAAATTCAGTTGGCAATGTTTTGTCACATCAAAGCACTTCTTTCTTTCTCGGTAGCACAGAGTGTAGTCCTAGTCGGCGACAACTGCAATTGTCGCGACTGCTGTCGCCATGATGACGGCAGAATCTGCTAAGGGCCTTTGTCGGTTGTTACGAACAAGAGGTACTTCTTTTGAGCTCCTTTACTCCGCACATCGTGGACCTGCGGGCTAAAAGTGCTGTAGAAAATGTGCTGATAACGGTGCGGAACAGTAAATCTATTCCGACCGAGGCCGCCAGTAATAGGTGGTGTTCAGAGAGCTGGCGGTTCTGCACATGCGTAGGCCGATGAGATGGGATGATGAAGATAGTGCCCATAAATCGGGGCACTCCGTACCAGGGTCTTCCTCGGGTATGGCAAAGGAGGACTTAAGAGGTGGATGGTGATGTGCGTGTTTCTGTGTGCGATCTCAGTTTTGTATGCCCTTGATCGAGCAGATTCTACCCCCGTGGAGCAGTGTTTTCGATTAATATTGAGTTGCATAGATGCGAGAGCATTCAGTATATGTTGCGCGAGGATTATTTTCCCTCTCTGCGTGCTGAGTGCCCGGGCTGCTCGACGGTGAACGCGGATCCTCCCTCTTTTCTGGGCTGCGATTACCGGGAGGCGGAGCAATAGCCGCAATAAAATGATATTTAGCTAGCGGCACGCATGATCACCGCGTTACTGGTTTGGGTCAGGAGAGCAAGAGCTCGACGTTGGGAAAAATATTTACAGTGGCACCTCTAGCGGCGGGAATGACGTCACCACAAATGAACGTTTGTGATTCGCACAGCGGATGGTGAAGGCCAATTACCGAGAAACGCATTGGTCGAAGTTTGAACCAGTGCGTCGCTACAGACCAAGTGATTCTCCGTTTCCCAAAGCCACAGTGCGCTTCGCTGGGAGCCCCGTGCTAAACGCCATAAAGACAAATACATCATAGCCATCCCATAACGTTTCGTTGAATTTGTGTGATAGTAACGCCATGTTCGTACATGTTTTCCCTCAATGGAGAGTTTCAAGATTTTGTAGCATTCGGTACACAAGCACATTAACGAAGAAGTGTAATGCAAACATTACAGACAACACACGATGGCGAAACTGAGAAAACCACGGCAGGTTAAGACTATAGGGTTCCGGCCATATCCCATAGAGCCTTTCGGGCGAATGCAAAGAACCATTAGTGCAGGGGCTTCTGAGCAAATGCAAAGAAACCAAAGGCAACGTGGAAGAATCCTTAACGATTGGAATGACCCAGCAAGTAGACGTATTGGTCCCTCGGAAACAGCGTAGGGCCGCTGGACAGCGCAATGAGGTTTAAAATTCAAAATTAACACCTTTTTCAATCATCAATTTTTTTGGCCTTCACGTGGGCCGTTTATTTTGCTTATAACTGGTTTTGGTCGCCTGGAAATTCGAAAATGTCCAATTTTGTTGTGTCGTGTGTCTAAAAAAAGTTTGCACCTGCTCGGCCGTGTATGGACCCCTTCGGAGCCTATATGTTCTTAAGGGGTCCAGGGGGGGGGGGGGGATGGCCCCGTGCTTCCCGTCTGGATCCAGCCTGGATTAGTCTCTACCATCTTTCGGTGTTTGATGACCAGCAAATGCTACTTCAGCGCAACTGAAACTCCCGAAACGAAATGTTTTATGGTTATCCTACATTGCGTTTCAGTTACCTTTGTTCTTGTGATTTATTGCATTTAGAGTTATATCGCAGCGGTTTCTGAAAGACTTTACTCCAGGTGACAGTCTAGACTGCTCCAAATTTCGTCGGTGACATAAACTAGACTTCCTCGCCCCTGCACGGCGACGCCACTCAATCACGCTGGTTCACAGTTCTCCGTATAAACACCTTCTCTGCAGGCTAATGCGAATGCCTCCGTCAGTCGCTGGGAGTAATTTTCCTTCGGCTCTCAAAACCACCCAAATCCAGCCAAGGGTGTATTCTCCAATTCCATGAATATGCATGCAGGCATTCAGAGCCTGCTTTGAGCACTCTAATTTGTTCAAGGTAACGTCGCCGGTCGCCGACAGGCCGCTCCAATGCGCGGGCCGTCGACGGATCCGGCACCACTGGGTGCGGTCAGCCGATATTTGGGAGCCAAGTGCACGTCGCGTGAACGACGACGCCGGGCATACCGGACCGGACGCGCACTGATATCCAACCAGTATCGTCCGACAAGTCTACAGACCAGGTCACCCAGTCTGCATGAAAACACGAAGATGCAGGAGCTTTCTGGGCGCAAGATATTACTTTGCTAATAGAACCAACACAATGACAACACGAAAACATGCTCCGAACCAGACTGCTATAGCAAAAATGGTCTAGGATACACCTGGCGTAAAAAGGTCGCCATAGGTCACATTTGAGAGAGCTCTCTGCAACGGTCACTGGCGTACAACAACGAGTCGTGTGGATCGCAGCCGTCATTTTGAAATAATTCAATATAACGTTAAAATCCCATCACCGTCCGTCGTGTATGGCTACGTTAATGTAGCGATGTCGGTCGGCCTCGGGCGGTTCACATTAATGTCGGTTGCCGCCCGCTGCCCGCTGCCCGCCGCCCGCTGCCCGCTGCCCGCCGCTGGTCGCCTGCCACCCGTTGCCCGCCGCCCGTCGCCCGCTGCCCGCCGCCCGCCACCCGCTGCCCGTCGCCCGCGCCGACCGTAGATCGCCGTGCAGCATCCAAAAATCGTCTCTGCTCTGAAGCAAGAAATGCTAGGACACGTTTACGTGTCAAAACACTCGCAATCAATTCCCCACAGGTTTCTGATGATTTGGGTGTGATTGCAGGAAGTACCGAAGAGGTATCTACAGAAAACCTGAGAGGAGGTCGCGGAATGCCTTAATCGCCCATCAGGGTGAAAGTTGCGTGTAATACTGAATGTTGACAGTGGAAGACCCCACACGGCCGGGACACAGACGAAAGGAGCGGGTTTCCTTAGAATCGGGTTCTTTTCTGTATTTTTACTACGAATGACCAATCACAAAAACATAATCCGCACCCGGTGCGGGGAGAAGAGGAACTTGACTTCTTCCTATGTTTTTTTCAAACAAAGCTCAAAAACGAACGCTTGCAGTTCCACCAAA